AGTCCTGGAGATTACATCTCCTATTCAATCACAGAACCAGGAAAGAAAAGGAAGTCAGGGCTTCTGATTCACAGAGGTGGGCTCCATTTCAGCATGTTTACATTCTAACTAAATGACTCCAAATGTGTGATGTCAATTTAAGATGCTAGTGTTTGCACCACATTATTTGTATAGCATCCTGATGTTTTCTGACACCGGGAACTTTTCCATGCAGTGCAATAAACCTGCTTCTTCCATCACTCAGACGAAAACAAACTCGTGGCAGCGAATAACCTCCCCAGATAAAAATGCTCCATTAAAAAAAAAAGTAGCTAAGAATTCGCCTTTGCATGTCTAGCAAAAGTTCATATTTATTAGCCTTGTTTGAAAATCCTGACAGCAAAAACAATAGCTGAAAATCACTGTTTTAATTGAAGGAGACACAACACATCTTTAAATTATTTGTAGCAAAATCCAAACGACAAACAAGGGAAAATATTGTACTATGCATGACAATGGAGTCCGCGCTCCTGGCCAAATCCCACAACTATTGTAATTCCCTATTAGCAAAGCTGGAATTAATAAAGCTGTTGCTTTATCTGGGTCTAAGGCTGTTGTAACCCGCCCCCACCCCGCCCCAGGACAAAAGACCGCATCCTTCCTTCCTTTAACACTAGGACAGGATGGAGCAATCCAAGGGGTCAAGGAACTCTGCCAAGGCCAATACGACTAGGGGGTTGAAGGTTATGGTATTCATACATCCTGGTTCTGCAGGATGATCAGTTTGAAATGCCATTGGGGGCCCCTTTCCCCTCCTCCCCGTCACTTGGGAGCTGTTTTAAATTAATCTGGATGTTTGAGTCTTCACAAGCAATCCCCACTACTACAGAGAGATTCATCAAAGGTTGTTTTCTTTATTCCACCTTGACTCCAAAACTGCTAGGCAATATTTTTCCGTTTGGAAAGGAGAGCAAGTGTGTGTGGATTATGTAATCAAAGCCAAACTGGATATGGTGTCAGCTTTACAGGGTGTAATTATACCCAGCAACATGGGGGGAAGGGACAAGTGGGTTGAAGGCCTGCAAATTATTTATTTATTGAAAATAATTTTACTGCACCTCTCTATTTAAAATATTTGAGGTGGCTTACAAAATATTTTTAAAAGACAACAAAATATTTTTAAAGGACTATATAAAAGTAAAATACAGAACCCCAAAAGAGGGGGGGGGGCAGAAAACCTGTTAAAACACCTCAAGACACACACCTAAACACCAATACAAGCACAGGTAAAATGGCGGCATTGGCCTGGCGCCAAAACAGTACCAACGTTGTTGCCTGGTGACTGTCCGGGGGAGAGAATTCCATAGCCTAGGGGCAAAGGCTGAGAAGGCCCTGGTCCATGTAGATGTCAACCTTCTCTCCATAAACGGAGGAACACAGAGCAGAGCCTCCTCAGCGGACCTCAATCCCCGGGTGGGTTTGTATGGGAGGAGACGGTCCTTTAATTCTGAAATTAAAACAACAAAGTGAGGTAAAGATGAGACACACCCACCCGCACCCCTCTTCTATTTTATCTTGCAGTCGGTGTGCTGTGAAGACATGCCCACATCTCTTAGCTACCTCACTTTTGGGAAGAACCAGAAGTGAAGATAACTAGACCCTTGAGAAAGGCAGCGACTGTGGGGCACAACAAACCCAGGTGTTGAGAAACATGTTCCCATGGGATTGCCGGACCGCAGAGGTTCTGTTCAGAGAGGCATCCACACTTTCCTACGTCTCTGAAGCTCCCCCTTCTGTAGGGGAAGAAAATGGACATGGGGGAGGAGTCCCATGCAAAACTACGACTGCAAATCTCATCCATGCTACGGAGCCTTTGCTGGCCTAGTTCTGCTGGCATCATGAAAGCGTTGTGAATACTAGAAAAGGGAGGTCTGCCAGCATAGGCACGGTAGCTCTCAGAACGACATCGGTTAGGCCAATAAAAGCACTCTTCTGTTGGTACAGTTGTGCTGACTCTGAGATTTTGCCGGTATAGCTGTCTCTGTTAGGGGGCGGGATTTTTTTTCTCCACACTCCTTACTGACACAGCTATGCTGGGAAACCTTTGTAAGCTTTTGGGATATCCGAGTTAGTCTGTACAGGTAAACTGAAAAAATAACAAATAGTCTGGTAGCATTTTATAAGCTAACAAAACATGTATGGTATCATGAGCTTTCGTGGGCACAGCCCACTTATTCAGATGACTGGAGTGTTGGATGTTTAGGACCAAAATAAATAGGGAAGATGGGGGGGAAGGTGGAAGAAGGGAAAATTGGGAAGGGGGGCGGGACAAGAAAAGGCAGTGGGCAAAAAATATTTTCAAGGGAAAGCGGAGCTGGAAAGCAATAGGGAAAACAAATAGTCTATAAGCACCTAAAGACTAGAGAGCCAAAGAGGGCAGATAAGAACCATTAATTAGCAAACAACAAAGAGTCAGGAAACACTTAAAGACTGATGAAACATCTAGATGGTATCATGAGATTCTTCAAAGACAAAGAACCATTGTCACCTTCATTGTTTGATAGGTAGGCAGACCAAGCCTGAGTCCTTGCTTAAAAAAGACATTTGTATGTGTGTGAAGACAAGCCAGAAAATGCAAATGGATTTTTTGATCTTTATCCCAGATCCTCATCAGACTCAGGAAAGCTCTACGCTACTGGAAAAAGTCAACCTAGGATACACAACTCCATCTAGAAGAATAGCATAGCTGGAGTCGACTTCAGCAGAATTTCTGCAGCATACCCACTGCGGGAAGTCAACGGAAGAAACTCTCCCGTCGACTTCCCTTACTCCTCACAACCTTGTAGAGTTCCGGGATCAATGAGTTCCGGGTTGATTTAATGGGGCCTAACTAGACATGATAAATCAAACCCCAAAAGATCAATCTCTGGAATGTCCATCTCGGGGTAAGTGCAGACCTGACCTACGTGGTGAGCAGCCATATTAGTTATCAATAATCGTCATCCCAAAGTACAAAGCAGAGAAAAAAAGACGAGATGGAGCTCCGCAATTTGTCATGGAGTCAGTAACACAGTTCATGCTAGCACAGTGCCTTTTTCCTTCCTGTTTCTCAGTATCTACATGCACATGTTGGTAGAGGAGAAGATGTACAATAGACGAGAGGAGTCAAATAAGTCCCCGACCCAAGAGCTCAACATTCTAACACGGCAGCAACTCCACCACAGAGAACACATGGCTCCCTGGAGGATTTGTTGAGGGAGGGAAAGAAGTGTTTTTGATGGGAAACGGTTTTAGGCATATGGAGCCTATCAAGGCATTATCAATAATGTAACCTTCCTCTCCTACACTGTAGCCACCTTTCAAAACCATAAATCTTGTGTAAGTCAACTATGGGAAGTAACAGGAAAGTGTGTGTGCGTTCACACACACACGTGTGTGTGTGTGTGAGAGAGAGAAAGAGAGATTAGTTAAAAAATAGGTGAGGAGAAGAGGGGGAGCAAAAGAAGTGAAAAGCCCAAAGGAGCGTGTGCTGTGTGTGTGTTCTTTCGGAAT